CAATACTCCTGATGTCACACTCCTGTTCTCTCTCCTCCCAATTGCAAAGCCACCACCTAGGTGTTGTACTCCAGGAAGCCTTTCCTGAACCCGAAGACTGGCCAGCTCAGTCATTAGCCACTCTGGGTTCAACTGGGAGCCCCTTGATTCCCCACTGTCCCCTAATTCCAGCATGGGCCCAGGTAGAGAGGTTATCCAGTGGTAACTGAAGCAACAGAGTGAACACAGGCAAGCTGACCCTTCTATAACATGAGGAAGTGGAGGCAGCCTGCTCAGGGCCACTCAGCAAAGACTGTGGGTCCTTCCTCTGTTTTCTCTTGTAGAGCTTCAAGCAGGCACCTCAGCCAGAGCGCCATCTCAACACCTCCAGTGACCACTTACCACGCCCCTTTTCCGTGAACCTTCCCCACAGCACAGACTGTCAACTCCCTGGACACCTCTCTGGGACTCTGTTCCCCAGGACAGCTCTAGAGGACCCTTCTTCCAGGTGTCCTATGTCAGCTCAGGCTACAGTCAAGGCAGGAATCTTCAGAGCTCCTCCTGGATGCAGAGCACCCACCTAGGGGCCTCTTGGCTGGCGCAGACTACCAAGGCCTTAATTGACCATCCTTATCCCATGCCCTGCCGTGAAGTCTCATCACCTTCCCTGGCCTAAGGTTAGGACCGCCTCTACAAACCACCTGTCCAGAGACATCCTGCAGAGATGAGCTAACTGACCCTAGAGAGCCTGAGGTCAAGCCAGGACCCAGAGCTCCACAGTTCCTAAAACCCTATGAGCTCCCACCCTTGCCGCTACAGATAAGAAAACAGACCCAGAAAGGTGAAATGACCCCTCAGATCACATAGTGAGAAGTGGACTCTTACCCAGTTGGGTCCCCTCCAAGGTGTCCTCTCACAATGACACAGCACTGAGAGAGACCCAAGGACAGAGGGTGAGTCTCCATGGGGTTCTGGAGACAGAAAGGCCCAACAGGACTGAGAGCCCGGCCAAAGGGCAGAGAGAAGACAGCTTTGTGTGTGCATGGGGGGGGGAGACAGGACCTAGGTTCTGATCCAGTTTCAGCCACTTCTAACTGTTGGGTCTTGCACAGTGAACTCCTGTTCTGAGCCTCCATTTTTCCACATCTGTCCCATTGGATTGATGAGTCCAACCCTACCAGACAATGGCAGACTCACTAAGACAAATAAAATAAAATTAAATAAAATAGGCAGCAGCCCTGGCCTTATGCACCTAACCCCTTGTCTTTCCCAGGGCAGCTTAGAGTCTCAGACTCTTAAGAGTAAGAAGGTCAACCAGGCGTTGGTGGTGAATGCCTTCAATCCCAGCACTTGGGAGGTGGATCTCTGTGAGTTTGAGGCCAGTCTGGTCTACAAGAGCTAGTTCCAGGACAGCCTCCAAAGCCACAGAGAAACCCTGTCTGGAGAAAAAAAAAAGAGTAACAAGGTCTTCAGAGATCCCTGAGTAAGCCCCATATGTCACAGGAGAATGTAGTGCTCATGAGATGGGAACCTTTGGATATTGTTTTGAGAGACTGTTCCCCCAGGTGCCTGTGGCATGGGGCAGATGGACAGTGAGCCAGGTCCAGAAGGGGATAACAAGAGCTTCCTCCAAAGGAGAGGGAAGGACTACAGCAGACAGGTCCCCATTATCCAGTTTCCAGCAACCAGAGGTCCTCGGACATACACCCTCAAGAACTCTCTCACACCTGCTCTAACTCCAAGCCCCCAGAGCCTCTAACACCAGTCTGTTCTTGTCACAGGTGCTGGTTCCTATTAGACTCTGTGCTTGCTCACAAACATATGTCTTGTACAATAGGCCTGGACCCACTTAGGATTGTCTTCCCTTTCTCCAATAAGGTCTGAAAGCATTAGGAAGAATCCAGGAGTCCTCCTCCTCCTCCTGGTGCAGTAGGCACCAGAAGAATCCAGGAGTCCTCTTCTTCTCCTTCCTCCTCCCAACACAGTAGGCATCAGAAGACCTGAGCACGAGTCATCCAGAGCATAACCGCCAGGGCTGCCCCTCATCTCTCGCCCATGTTCCAGCCATCGAGTTCAGAGGTCCTTCAAGTCAGGAAGGTCCAATGGCAGATGACCAGACAGCCCAGAGAATGAAAGGGATGTGCCTCGGTCACATACAGCAAAAGGATGCCAGACTTGATGGTTTCCTGAATGGCCAAGAAATGTTTTGTTTCTCCCAGTGAGGGGAAGCAGGTTCTAAGCAGTCCTCTGCCTTGTGTCTGGGTTCCATGTTCGGCATCTGCCCCGGCACCACGCCTAGACTTGCAGGCAACACTGTCTGCCTTCTGTCCACTACCCAGAGCCCAGTGCAGGCCCGAAGCCAGGCCAGGCCAGAGGCCAGGAGGGAGGAAAAGAGTAGGTAGCCTCTATCAACCCTTTTCCTCTGTCCTGGCTCTGATTGCTAGGTCCAGAGCCATGGTGGCTTCCAGGGACCTTTGGACACAGATACAGGGAGAAGAGCAGGATAAAATCGATCAAGTAAATAGGAAGGCACCATCCCCTACACACACACAATCACAGAGTACAGGGCATGCCCTGGAGCAGGGCAGGGGACAAACATCTCAACAAAAACAGGAGATGAGTCCCAGCCTCCTGAAGTGACCCAGTGATTCCTGGGTCTCTGGCTTCTACCTGGCCTTGGCAACAGTCACTCACCCCTCTGGGCCTCAGCTTTGTCATCCATCAAACAAGAATGGGATGATGAGAACATCATGTCCTTCAGATCTTCAAAGAGTTATTGATGGGGTTGAAGGTCAGAGTTGCCTAAGATGCGAGTTCGTCACTCTGGAGCATGCTGCCCTGGGTTGCACTCTTGCCTGGGTTGCAGGGTGCCCCTTCTTTTGGTCCGCATTTCTTAGTAGCAGAGACAAACTGATGACTCCCTAGGACTGGCCTGAGGCTAAATCAGATAACCAAGAGAAAATGCATGGCCAAGAGCAGGGTGCTTATCAGAAACAGGATTAACTGTGTGGCAACTGGAAGTCCTGGAATCTAGGGACAGGAAGCTCAGAGACTTCTGCTCATCTTCCAGAGTTCCATCTGCTGTGCTGGGAGGGGCAGGCAGGGGTGGCTTAGCCATAACTAAGGTGTCAGTCTCCCCTGAGCCTAGGTTCTGCAGTGGGAAATGGGTCTGAGACAGCCTGGAAGAAGAATTAGAGATAAGATTAGACTTGGGGGCTAACCCATCAAGAGACGCTCTAAGCTCTCTCTTGGGACTTAGCCATGTGACTACATGCTGGCCCCTGGCATTCTCTGGTCCTCAGATCCAACCTGCACCCCACTGTAGGAGGATGGGATTACAAAGCGGATTGTACAAAGGTCTGTCTGGTACCCCAGCCTCTGCTCAGCAGGTGAAGCACTGCAACATGTATGTTGGAGAAAACATATGTCCTTCCCAGAAGCCCATGACGCCACAGCTTTTTCAAATATTTTCCATGCTCAAGTCTGATCTAGCCACAGGAGTCTGTTTGAGGCAGCTTGGTCCCTATACCTGCCAACTCCGGTCCTAGGCAAGGCTGGGTTTATTCATTAACCAAGCCAGATGGAGGAGGCAGCTCCGCCCTATTGACAAAAGGTAGGCGTACCCACCCCCCCATACACTCACACACACACACACACACACACACACACACACACACACACACACACACACACTCCCTAGAGAGCCAGCCCTGTAAGGAAGTCATACTTCCCAGCCCTGCGTACCGCTGGTTTTAAGCCTTTCTCAGTCAGAGTCCACCACCTTTCACTTTGTTCCTATGTCTGCCTTTCCCAGCATCACTGTCCTGGATGCTGTGGGAGAAGCCTGCATGCAGGCAGCAACATGTTGACCTACTAACTGCCTCCCCCCACACCAACCAGGCTCGGACCTAGGCTAGGCCCTGGAGAAGCTCCATTCCAGGGTCTTTACGGCTGGGCAGGGGCTCGGAGGAAGGAGGTATGCACAGAAACCCAGAGGAAGTCAGTTGGCCAGGGCATACAGAGACAGTCACAGAGGCCAAAGGGACAGCAGGAAGAAGAGCAGGCCAATCGTGAGGGGACAGGTGGATAAAACTGTAAATGATTAAAGCAAGGCAGCAAAGCAGAGGGCCACAGGGGAAAGGCCAGCACCTCAGGCTCTGGTGTGAGGACAGGAGTCACAGACCAGCCCTAGGCAGGAGAGAGCCTGTTAAGTCCAGTGCCCTGACCTCTAAGAACAAGAATGCATCTCGGCCTGACCCAGAGCAGCTGAACGGTGCAAAGGAATGGCCTTTCAGGAACCTTCTAAAGGGAAGTTCACACCCTGAAATGTGGCACTCACAACAAAACCACATGTGTGGGGGACAGCTCCTGGGGCCCCTAGACCAGGATCTCTGCCCATCAAACCCTAAGCCTGTCCTGTCGCGACAGAGAGGAGAATCATGGGACTGGGAGGAGGGGAGATGGCAGCAGAGCGGCTGAGGACAACTGCTTTCCGAACTGTTTTCCCGTGGCCCTGAGTCCCTGCCTCCCCTAGCTCACTCACTTCCCTGTGGCTCAGGGAAGGGAGCCCAAGGCCTGCTGGAGACTGAGGCTGGTGGCAGGGACAGGGAGGACTGGAGGGATCAAGCAGGAAGGAATCTCATCCTTGGCACCCAAGAGTGCAGAGAGGAGAGCAGAAAAACCCATCTCAGGCTAGAGAACCAGTGAAGGAGCAAAGGGGCCATTCTCCTGGCTAGTGAATCAAGCTGGGGATCCAAGTGGAAGCTACTCTGGAAGAGATATCCCTGAGAGAAACTATTCCCCCTAAGTGGGCCTGGCCACCACCTACATCACCCAAACAGTCAGGCATGCCTGGGTTAGAGCGCAGTGAGCCAGGTAAGTCATATCCACAAGCCCTATCTGGGCCTCAGTTAGCCCATGTGTGTAATGCTGTGGGTCCCTGGCCTGAGTCAGGACAAGAAGACTCCTGCGAAAAGTGTTAGGGAGCCGAGGAGGCTGCAGCTACCATAGGGCAACCCTACCTTGATCTTGTGCAGAGTCCGATCCATCTCCACAGCCTGCACCCACACAGCCACGCCGGCCTTGCTGTAGGTCAGGTTCCAGCCCACCTCGGCCTCACACTCTGACCGGAAGCTGCGAAAGTCCTGGTCATCGGGCACCTGGACACTTTCGCGGCCCAAGGCGGGCCGAGGCCCTTGGGATTCCGTTGAGGCAGCTGGCTTCTCCATAGGGAGCGTGGGGAGGCCCGGGGCCCTGGTCCTAGCCCGACTCTCCTGGGTCCTCCGCGGAGGCTCCGACAACGTCGACGCGGCTGCAGATGCTGACGCCACCTTCCTGGGACCTGCAAGACCGGTTTGGGGACCAGAGTCAGTGCGCTGGGGGTGCGGGTGGGGCTACCCGGGGTCCCGGGCCAGCGGACAGCTAGAGAAGGGCAGGTGCTGGCCACGGGGCGACAGTAGACCGGCACAGGACAGTCACTAGAGCCACCCTCCCACAAGGACCGACCTTACACTTCCCTGGAGCGGCCGTGGGGTTGCTGCGTAGCGGGTGCAGGAGCCCGTGGGAGCGGAGCAGGACCCTGGGGATCGCAGGTGCGGGTCTGGCACGGAGTCCCCGCGCGGCGCTGGCCGGACTCGCTCAACTAACTCGGCAGCGAGCCGCGCGGGGCCACGGTGGGGGCGGGGCGTGGTGGCCGAGTCTCACCTGTGCGGGCTTCTCTGCCGGGGCCCGCCGGGGCCGGGGTGCGAGCTCCTCCGCCGCCGCCGCTGCTGCCCGGGCGACCGGGGGCCGCGCGGGGGCCCTAGGGGGAGGAGCAGTGGGTCCCGCCGCCGGCCCTGCCCCGCCCCGCGCCCCCCGCCCCGCGCGCCCCCTCTGCCTTCCTCCCTCCCCGCTAGGCTCGGGGCTCCGGGGCTCCGCTCTCCTCGCTCGGTATTTTCCAGGCTGCGGAGGTAAGAGCTGCGGGAGCACCGAGCCCCGCCCCGCCCCGCCCCGCCGGGTCCTAGCGCCCGCCCCCGTGAGCCCCGGGGAAGGGGCAAGGTCCGGGAGGGGTTGTAGACCAGCTGAGGACTGGGAACCCTTGAGCAGTAGCCGCTGTAGCGAAGTAGCAAAGTAACATGGGCTCTCAGAGTAAGAACAAGCGGCAGAGAGGGATTCTGGAAGTTAACTGTGAGGCGCTTCTCTCCTCCCTGCTCCCACCCTTCCAGGTACATGCTTCTACGACAGTCTGTTCACACTCACACACACACACACACACACACACACACACACACACACACACACCCATGACAATCGAGAGACTAGTAGGACGAGGGATGGCAGCCCCTGAATAACTTAGGAAGGCCACAGCTTGCAACCCCCAACAACCAAGAGCATTATAAGCCTCCACACACCCAACTCCACTCCCAGTAGGGTGTGCAACCCCAGCCAGAAGTTGATCCAACTTAAAAGGCTCAAGGTTCACAGGCTGGCCAGAATTTGGCAAAATTTCCACATCAGTCTCACTCTGGCCTGAGAAATAGGACCTGAACCAAGACCCCCCTACAGTCCCTACTTAGTTCTCAGCATCCACCCTCTTTAGCGCTCATCCCATAGACTACACCGGCTCTCAAAAGCACAGGGCCCCAGATCCCTGGAGCTCTCCTATCCCTCCCCCTGCAGAACAGAGTGGCCCAAAGCCCCACTCTATAGTCTGGTGTAAGGTCTGGCTGCTAACTCCTCTGCCCACTCCTCCATCCTGGGAGCCCAGGGCCTGCTGGGTCCTTGGGTCAGTTCTGCCCCATCTACTGGGTGTGAACTGAAGCCAGGGACTCAATTTTTCCAGGGCCAGGCCAGTAGGAGTGTGAAAGGCTGTTCCTGTCACTGGTCCTGAGCCACAGGAGAGCAGGGAAGGCCTTTGCTGCGCTTGCCCCTCTGGATAAGCTGCTAAAAGGAGTAAGTGACCACCATTGACCTAGTGCTGGAGTGAGCTAATGGCTGTCCCCACGGGAGCCAGGTCATTAAGCTTCTGCCACCCAGGACTCCTTGCTGCGCCCTTCGCATTCCTTCCCTGGGCCCTCGGAAGTCACCTCCTAGCTTCACCATGCAGAGTTCTTTTCTTACAGGCGTTAAGAGAAAGCTAAGGAGTCAGCACTGTGCGTTCACAAATAGATGTGGGTTTTGTTCTTTTTTTTTTTTTTTTCCCTGAGGTGCTCAGGGCTCTGGAATGGTTGTAAATAGTGCAGTTTTTTAAATGAGCAGGAATCTGGGTGTGGTGGCACAGGCCTATAGTCCCAGCTACTTGGGAGACTGAGGCAGGAAGACACAAAGTTCAAGGCTTTCCTGGGCTACATACAGAGTTCCAAACAAGTGCAGGCAACAAAGTAAGACCTTCCCTCAAATGAAAATAAGTAAATAAATAAATAATAATAATCAGGGTGGAGGTTCTAACTTGGTGGTACAACTCTAGGTTTAACTGTTAGTTCCACAAATAAGATTAATTGGGAGCAAGCAGGTCCCCGTCAGACCTGTGCAATGACCTCAGATACCCAGGCCTCCCATCTGAAGCGAGGGAGGTAGCATCAGCTAATTACACAAACACGTCCTCTAAACCCACTCTTTAAGTGCCTGGGGATGAGTAGGTGGCATTGGGGGCTGGTTTTGGACTTTGGGAGGCCTCAGGCACTGAGTGTCTGAACCTTCTCTGCCCAAGTCTACCCTCCTCAAGCCTCAATGTGTTTGTGGTACCAGCGCTCCCAGGCTGGTGGGAGGCCCAAAGAGGACTCCAGCAAAGTCAAAGCCTGCTTTGTGACCTGGATCCTCAGGGATTGACCATGAGGTAGAGAAATGGCAGCAGTTGCCTGATGGCTTTTTGGGCCCCAGTAACATACTTCTGGGCAGATTGCAGGGTACTAAACCTCTCATGCCCGCTTCCAGTCTGGGGTGGTGGGGAGATAAGGCTGGGGTGAGATTAGGCAGTGGCTGTGAGGGCAAACTTACAAAAGAACCTCCCTAGCCCTACAGTGCAAGTCTGAGGTGAAGACAGCCAACTAGTGAGGGACAGATGACAGAAGCTAAGCTGTCACTCATATAACCTAGATTAAGAGCAAATCTTCTGTGCCTTGAGGGTCTATAATAGCAGGTGGACTGCTGGTAGATGAGCAGAAGGATGTCACTCATCTTACTGGTTAACTTTCCCATGCATGTCTTCCCCCACCAACACAGGAATTTAGTCATCCCTGGCTTTGAGGTTCTTGACAACCTCTTCAACATGACAGAGTAGCCTCAAATCCTATTGCACCACACCTTAGGCAGAGGGACAAAAGGGGAAAGCCAAGGAGATAGGGAACAAGCCTGGCAGAAGAGTCTGGACATGATGGCCCAGCCACCTGCTTCCCACAGCCTGGGTTCAAGCCCTAACAGTACCATTTCCTACATGTGTGACTGGAAGCAGCTCTCTCTCTCTCTCTCTCTCTCTCTCTCTCTCTCTCTCTCTCTCTCTCTCTCTCTCTCTCCCTCCCTCCCTCCCTCCCTCCCTCCTCTCAGTGCATTTCCCATCTGGAACATTAACTCCTGAGAATTACTACAGTGAAGACTTGTATATGTCTTTCACCCCTGGATAAGTAACCAGAAATACACTGGAAGAGGGGTAGAACAGAGAAGAACATATTGTCCAAAACTTTGGTTCTGATAAAACAAAAAGGCAAACAAAAGATTAAGGAAATATCATGGTGTGGTAGATTCTGGTGCAGGATTAAAAAGTGCAAAGATTGGCAAACAAGATGCCTGCTGTGCCCAGTCAGTGCCCAGAGTGATGGCCCTCTACAGAGGGTGGGTAAGTCGCCTCTGTAAGTTACATGTTAGAGGCTGGCCTGGCTCCTTTATGGCTCGCAGCTCCAAAAAGCTTGCACTGAACAGCTGCCATGGGGGTAGAAAGATGAGAGTTTATATGAGAGTCATCAGCAAACAGAGGCTCAGGAAATGGGAGGACTCAAGGCCCAGGCAGGCACCCAGCAAGCCTGGGCCTCACATGCACCCTCATAAAGAGGGCAAGTGCTTAAGGAGACCCTCAGTACCTCATCAAGGTTTATGCCAGACAGCTGTTGGTGCAGGGGCCATGCAGATCCTGCCAGAGCTACCCCTTTACCTGCTTCCTAATGCCCCCAGCCCCTGTACCAGTTCTAAAGACACTCAGACCGATATCATCTGGACCCACCCTGACAAGTAGAATCACCAAGGCCCAGAGAGCAGGGGCCATAGGGAATAAAACCCCAGAAGCTGGGTATGGTGGAATATGTTTGCAATCCTAGCACTTTCAAGGCAGAGGTAGGAGGTTCAAAAGGAATTCAAAGTCATCCTCACCTACACAGGCAGTTTGAAGCTAGCCTAGGTAGGCTACACAAAACAATGGGAAAAAAGGACCCGGTTCTCCCGACTCCAAGTCTGAACTTGCCCCACTCCAGTTGCATACCATCCTTTCTACTTGTGGGGACCTCAACAACTTTAAGTTATTACTTTAACAATTACCCTACACACAAACACACAATGCCTGCCACTCTGCTTTTGTTTGTGTGGACATGATCTAACTCTGTAGTCCAGCAGAAGTTGAGGCAGTCCTGCCTCAGCCCCCCAAATGATAGGATTACAGAGATGAATCACCCACACTCAGCCTTGACTTGAAGTAAGTGCCCACCCCCTACTCACCATCTAGCCAGACAGACAGACGGAGGCCTTTGGATGATAAATTACCTCCCCCCACGGGCCCCTTTTCCCCACCTTCCTCCTGGGGTAACCCTGTCTTCCACTAGGGTGGAGACTGTTGTCTAAGAAGTTGTCTAGGGCAACATGATAGTGCCCTGAAACCACTGTTCTAGATCAGACGGTCACTTGTGTGATGTCACCAGGAAATGGAACAGCGAGGTGGTTCCACACCCAGGCCCTCAGGTCAGAATACTTTCAGGCCTCCAAAGTGGGCTTGGCCTTGAGAGGGCCCTGTCCTATTACAGTGACAACAGGAGCTGTATGCAAGCCCCACGAGGTCCGGATCTAAGTGTTTACTCAGGGTGGGTCTCGTGGCACCGCTGGGCCTCACTGAGCAAACAGCACAAAACTGCCCTGAGGAAGCCACAGTCACCAAGCCAGTCACTTAAGGTTACCCACATCCTCATTCATGAAGACACTGTCACAGCCATATATTGTCACTTGCTGTCCCATCCAGGTTCCGCACAGAGATGCATCATCTCAGTCACATACATGGCCAGCCTGACACAAGGGCATGAACATGTACGATTACATACAGTATCAGAGTGAAGGTGCCAGGTGAAAAATGCAGGATGCCTAGTGAAATTTGAATTTCAGACACTCAACCAAATTGGGTGTGATGGCTCATGCCTTTAGTCTCAGCTCCCCAGAGGCAGAGGCAGAGGCAGGAAGATCTCTGTGAATTTGAGGCCAGACTGTCTCCATAGTAAGCTCTAGGCCAGCCAGAGCTATTTAGTGAGGCCCTATCTCAAGAAAGCACACAGAGACAGAAAGACAGACAGACAGACACACACACACACACATACCAAATAATTTTTACAACTAATACACCCCAAATGTTTGCTAAATCTGAAAAGTTTGCACCTACACAGTGATTTACAGTGAGTTCAGACACCTACTATGTTGGTTAAATATACACACTGCATCCAAGTGGCAATGGTGCACACGGCTCTGCACACCCTACACATGTGAGAAGGCACCAGACCAGGTTAGGTCTTAGACTCATCTTGTCTCAACTCCACAACAACCAGAGGCTGATCCTTAGACAGGGACTTTTAGCTCCTTTCACAGCAAGGAAAATGAAGTTCAACAAGACGTAGAATCAGCCGGGCAGTGGTGGTGGCTCATGCCTTTAATCACAGGCAGAGGCAGGCAGATCTCTGTGAGTTCAAGACCAGGCTGGTCTACAAGAGCTAGTTCCAGGACAGCCTCCAAAGCCACAGAGAAACCCTGTCTTGAAACCCCCCCCTCCCAAAAAAAGAAGCAGAATCAACAATATGTTCCTTAACTCAAGGCTCCCTGGATATGGAAAGTCAGGCTACCGTTACACTCATAGTATCACCCTGGCCATGCCCCAGAGGCTACTCTAGTTCTACATGGTGATGACTGTCCTGCTCAGGTCCCTCAGGGTCCATCCAACTTTGAGATTAAAGAAAAAAAAAAAGGAACTGTGTGGGCTGTGAAAGGGGCCACTGTGGCCAGAGCACCAAAAGCTATTGCCCACCCTGGCAGAAAGACTAGACAACCTATTCCCAGATACCCCCTCACCACCTAGCCTGAGCACAGACCCCAGGGGAGGGCTTGGAGTCAGCAAATGGATCTGGTGCCTCTAACAGGAAATTCAAGGGCTTCTAGAAGGCTACATCGACCCAGCTATCAATCAAACTGAGTTCCTGCAGACATCAGGATCTTGCCAGCAGGGTCCCAGCACAGGGCTGTGGTGGCCATCCAGGCTCTAGAGTCCTTTTTGAGGTGGGAGGGTGGGGGAATCACTCCCTTGGTTCTGTTAGATTCTTTTGCTGTACCTCTTATCTACTATTCTCTTAAATCATGAGAGTCCCCAAAGACTGAGACCTTCGGGACTTATCCACTGTGAAGAAGTCCTTCATTGAGGGGACAGGGTTCCCTCTTCACAGAGGCTGGGGATGCCCTGGGCAGCAGAAGCCTAAAGCCTAGAAAGGCAGTCCCCAGAATCAAGGGCACAGGAACTAGAGGATAGATTGGGGATGATGGGTAAGGAGACTTGCAGATGGAGTGACACACCCCGCTTAGCAGTCCAGAAAAGTGACTTGGGCAAGGGAGCCAAGCTGTCTGGGTCAAGACCTCGACACTCAGTGCTAGGATCCAAAACAGTTTAATTGACCTCAGTATGTCTAGACTGGCTTGCCTCTAAGACTGCAGACTGATGAGATTTACATTATTACAGTGGAGGGTGTTGCTGAGCAGTGTCCTGACCAGAATGAGTTCTCAGACGCACTTTGGATGATGGCATGTTGTCCCCCACCTTCATCCTCGGTTCCGAGAAGAGCTGCCAGTGGCCTGGCTGTGCACCATTTGGAAAGCTTCCTTCGGTGGCATGACCTCTTTGTGAGCACACAGTGCCTGCCAGCAGGGGACAGGGAGCCTGGCCCTTCCTATTCACAAGGCTGAGACATGCTGAGACATGTCAACCTGAGTGAAGGGCTGGTGTGGGTGGGCCTCTCCCTGAGCTCTGCTGTGGGAATGAGGTTCTAGGCCAAACTTCATTCTGGGATCAAAAATCTAGTCCGAGAACAGGCCTACTACAGTAGGCTCAGCTGCTATGGGACATTGCTGCCTGGGGGGGGGGCTCTTCCTACCCCAAGTTTCTGGAGTCCTGGGTCAGCGGGCATCACCATGTCCTCCCTGGGGGAGGCTGTCTCCTTCAGCACCTTCTAAATTTAGGGTTTGGTTCTGTGACTCACTTCTGAATCTGCTTGGCTCCCTCCTCCAGGAGTGTGCTCCCACGGTATTTTTATATCCTCCGCTGCCACAGAGTGAAGAACACAGGCCCCAAACCCTGCAGGAACCCCAGACTAAGAAGGGCTCCCTACTCCCCCTTGCTTGAATTGCTCCGGACACCTCTGACCAGATCCTACACTCCAACCCTACTGTCTTCCCAACTTCCTCTTCCCCAACCAGAGCCCCTGGGCTGGCTGCTATCTTGGGGGCTCTCTCGCAGGGGAGAAGGGCTGGAACCCAGCCCTGCCCCCTCCCATCTGGCTTCGAGACACAGCCCACACCTGAAGGCAGGAGGTCTGTTTTTCACCGGACTCCCTCCCTCTGGCTTTACTGCACTTTTCTTTCCGCCACTAAATAAGGAGTGTGAACCATTACTTTTAAAGGCTTAGAGCAAAGTAGAAATTACCACTGGGTCAGGCCTCCACCCAACCTTCAAGCCGGGTGGGCCAGGGATGTAGTTTCTAATGTCTGGTGGGTGGGTCCTGTCTGTCATTTAGGACCTCCTCTGGCCACCAAAACCTGCTCCATTCAAAGAAAGCACAGGAGGCCAAAAATCTAGACTTCTGTCCTTCATGGAGGAAGACCCCTCACTCCCCCACACTCTAAAGGAACTAGAATGAGCCCACGGTCTGGTTTCAGTATGATGAGAGCTATAATGTGCAACCTGGAACAAGAATCGGCTTCACCCTGGGCTGCAGGATGTGGGAAGAGCAGATGCATGCATGGGTGTCGATGCTGCAAACATCTCTTTCCCTGGGCCAGAGGTCACCAGAGCCTGGCCCCCACGTCACTTTCAGATATGTTGGCATCACAGGGGCATGTAGGGGGAGTTTGGAGGAGATGGACAAACCCTGGGGCTGCTGTCTGGCTGTAGCCTGTTTCAACCTGTCTTTCCCGGAAGCAGGGATAGCCAGCAGTTATTACTTACCACATGCCTGGTGCTGTTCTTTGTACTGGACAGGTTACAACTCATTTAATTTATAGTTAGCCTTCCAGATAGCCCAGGATAATGCTTACCACCTCCATTTTAGAGAAAACTGGAGCCATAAAAGGGAGGCAGTGACTTAGTCAAGGTCATAGTATTGACACTGTGAGGGCTAATTGAAAACCCAGGACTGACTGCAACTCTGGCTTCCATTGGTTCTAAGAAAGCTCCTCTCGGAGTTTATATTAGATACTCCATAAATGTTTGATGAAGATGATTGGTCACTGTCATGTAATGGAAAGATCTCCATCCTGGTCCAATTCTGTCCCAACCTGTGTGCCCTTAAATGAGTCCTTTTCTAAGGTGGCCCACACAGCACTCTGGAGGCCCAGAAGGGAGGGTCACTTCAAGTCTGGGCTACATAACAATACACTGTCTCCAAAATGAAATCCAAGCCCAGCGGCAGTGGTGGTTGTGGCACACGCGCCTTTAATCCGAGCACTTGGAGCCAGAGGCAGTGAGTTCAAGGCCAGTTAAGCCTACATAGTGCAATCCAGGACAGCCAGGGTTCTGTAGAGACCCTGAAGAAGGAGGAGAGCACTCCACAAACAGATGCATAAAGCCTATTGCTACAAGGCACAGAGAAAAGCTCACTGGTCCTGTGCGTTGCATGGTATGTCTGTCATGGTGTCACCTCATTTAACTACATGTTCAGACCCTCCTCTGCTTTCTGAGACAGTTGGTCAACTCAGTGGAGCTGGGCCTTCTTCATCAGAACGAATTGGGTCAGAAGCCGAACCTTGATCCTCCAAGGCTTTCTGGAATAGGTGGGTTTGTTCCAACATCCAACAAAGACACTATTGCTTGGGGTCCGAGGAAGAGCTCCAGGCCAAAGGCAGACAGGCTGGGATCTAGCCCTTGCTCACACAGTGACCTGTGCTAGCTCCAGGCCTCTGTGGTGCCCTTAGCTTTGCTATTTGCAGAAAGAGGAATGTGTCTCTCTGCCTGCAGTCAAATGACTATAATAATCTTCCGCCTTTACACACAGCTTGGGAGTCTGTAAAGTCATTTACACCTTTGGATCTCATTTGACCCTCCCAACAGGCTGGTTCCCTCTATAAATGTTAGAAAGCTTAGGTTCCCGAGGAAGCAATTTACCCAAGGTCACACAGCAAGTCAAAAGTAGACTAGCTCTGGAATCCTTCTCTGGTTCTTTATGTTCTTTGCAAAAGTCCTGTGTGAGGATCAAGGAAACGAGGGGACTGTGTTTTGCAGACAATAAAAGGACGGATAGAGGGCAGTTCTGTTTGTATTCATTGCAGTTATCTTTGCTCGGGCGCCCTCCCCCGCGCGCTTCTAACAGGAGGAAATCCCACCGCGCAGGCGCCTTTTG